ACCCCTACACCCTAAACCCTAAACGTGCCACAAATCACGGGCTATGCAAACCAGTGGGTGCCATGAGTTGAGGTCATAGTAGCATGTGCGGATGCAGATGGTCCGGCAAGTTGGTGGCAAGGCACAGCACGTAAGCAACCACCAGGCATTGTTGTAGAACCTCTGCATTCTCTGCTTTGCGCTCAGCCGTGCTGCGACTGGCTTCTTCGCTGCTGTTCGCTGCCGCGCTCGTGATGGTTGCCCGGATGCCGCCTCGTTTGCGACCACCCTCAGTCTGGGAGATGTTGGAAAGCTCCTCGGCCCAGACAGCTGCGTTCCCCGTCGAGGGCCTTCTGTTGATGTCCAGCATGTGCACGATTAGCTGTGGCACGACTGCGAGGTGTTGCTTTGGATGTTATTGCCTTTGCCGCTGGGCTGAATGATTGGTCTCTGAGCAGTCGAGTAACCTTCGCAGAATGAGAGGGTTTGTGCTTTTGCACATGCTGCCTAGGCGATGATCACCCTAAGTATGCCGCACGTTCACAACGATGGCATCCCGGCGAAACAAGAAGGTTTTCTGTGGTTTTTTCCTTGAATCACTTGTCAGTGATGTGGCATATCTTGCAGCTTGGTGCACAGCAAAGCGTGCTAGATCGGACATAGAAGCGCCCTTAGCCCTAGCCCTAATGGCCCCAATAGAAGAACGAGAGGTTGCAGGAAGGCATCCCTAAGCCCTAAGCCCTCGGCTCGAAACTCCTAGACTCTAAGGTTAGAAGTATGGGCCCTNNATGGACCCTTAGGCCTTTCTAGGGAACCTTAAAGGTACATATAGGGTATATAGCAGATGTAAAAGGATCAACCTTAGATAGACCGCAAAGGAATGGTGCCAGTGATGTTGGTCTTTGTGGTGCTCTGCATCCTTTGCATCAACTTTCGGGCGCCTTGTCTGTGTCGTTATGTACAGTAGGGCTACTACAAGGTTAGGGCCGTTAGGGTCTTGGGTTTTTGGGTTTGCAGTTTTGGGGTTTGGGGGCTTCGCGCATGAAGGGATTCAGGGCTTAGTGCATCGCAGTCCCTGCGCCAAAACAGGGGTTCAGGGTTTAGGCTGGTTACCCTGGATGCAAAGCAGGTTGGTTGCCCCCCCTGGCTTCTGTATAACGATGACTTTTTTGTTGGCTGTTTCTGTGGCAGTTTACAGACAGAACGACAGAATGCCTTCCAAACAGTGCCAGACACTGCAATGCGAGTCGCACGGCTTCAGGAGACCCGGGCCATTATCGCTGAGTTTGTGGAGCCCATCGTGCTCCCTGGATGATCTTGGGTGCAAATCCGCATTCGCACACCTCTAAGCGCAAGTCAGCACGTGGACACATCTGTTACTTGCCTTGCATCCGAAGCCCTGCACGCTAAACTTTTTGGACTAGCAGGACCAAATCCTCTATGAACCTTGCTGAACCCCGGAGGGGATGATGGTTCGTAGCCCTTTTGGTAGCTCTTTGGGCCTGGCATAAATTGACTTTGCACCAGCACCGTCGGACGTGACTTTTGTTGCTTTGCATAGCTGCATTTCCCTTCGCTGGAGGAATTTTAGCGCGCGCCGACTGGCACAAGCACGTGAAACAACCCTAAACCCTAAACCCCAAACCCCTAAACCCTAAACCCTAAAGGCCCTAAACCCCAAAGGCCCTGAAGGCCCTAAATTCCCTGAAGGCCCTAAACCCTGAAAGGCCCTGAAGGCCCTAAAGGCCCTAAATCCTAAACCCTAAGTTGATTGGAAAGAAGCCGAGGCCTCTTCTGGCCACAGAGGTCTCCGAGCCACCTCCTGCGCACCTTCGCGAAGCGCTTCGGCGAAGTGCGCATGGGCTCTTCGACTCCCGGTGGCATAATTTAGGGTTTAGGGTTTAGGTGTGCACGAGCCACTGCAAGATGTTCTATCCCTGTCGGAGATCAAACAGGAGCACGCGCGGAAAAGGATAGAGGCCAAGGCAAGGAGAAGGCAGGAACGTCATGAACGCTTGGTGCAAAATTCGAGCGGGTAGCATGGGAAGCTTGCTCCTACGCCTCGGAGCATGTTTTTGCCGTCTTCTGATTGCGTGCTGACATTTTCGGGCCTCTGCTGAAGAACGGCAGATGAGGCAAGGCAATGCTGGCAGTCATCAAGTCCGGTTTCCAGGGCTCTTCGACCCCCGGGTTCAGATGCCCCAAAGCCCTATTCGAATGGTTTAGGGGCCCCTTATAGTACCTGGTTGCAGCGCATGCTGACAGCTTCAGGCGGGAGGCAGGGAGATTTTCCGCATATCTGCTTCAGGAGTTCTACTTTGACTACTTTACTTGGTTTCCTTGGGTTGCGTGAAATGAGTCTGAGGTCATCAATTCGCTGCTGATGTTGCGGCAAGCAATGCAGCAGCTTTGCGTGAAATCCACATCATGTGCCTGCTTCATTGTGTCCTTGCTCAGCAACCTATCTCTCATGCATTGAACCTGAAGCAAGTTGTCCGTGGAGGCACCATGTCGCGCAAAGCCGCGCACGGGAGATTGACGACCAATGGAAGCCACCGGAAGCTGAGCCTCGTGGCGGCGCAGAAGCATGGAACCCATAAACCCCCAGGCCGAAGCCATGGGACCTTCAATTCTTAGACCGTAGACCCTGACCCCCCAGGCCCCCAAAACTCTAAATGCCCAAAAAAGCCCTAAACTCTGCAAGCGACCCTAAAACCCTAAACCCTAAACCCTAAACTGAAACACCAAGACCAATCCAGGTCGTGGGACTATCGGCCAGAGCCCGAACTTGAGAGGCGCGGACCATGGGTTTGGAGGCCGAGGCTCAATGCTGAAGAGGTTTTTGGGGTTTAGGGGTTTAGGGTTTAGGGTTTAGGGTTTGGGTGTGGCATACACTGCAAGTCCGTGCTTAAAAAGGGTTTGGGTGTAAGTTGTTTACGGGCGGTTCATGGATTTCAAGCGATTTCACATCCATTTTTTGGGAGGTGCAGCGTATCAGTGCAGCAAGCAAGTTGCCGCTCATTGCCAGGATGTCAAAACAGTGAAACCTTTGCTGCTTTGAGAAGACTAGAGCTCACGAATTGTGAGCGTAGTTCAGGTCTTGAGCTATCGAGAATGCCCAAGCCGCAAGTCTGACCGAAGTCTGTGCAAGGGCCGAGGACAGTGATTACTTCGGGGAGTATGCGGACAGCGAGTCTTCAATGATGCCTTCGCAGGGTGACCTGTGCCTCGCCTACTGATGCCCGTGGGCGTGCTGAGTCTAATGTATACTCGTCATTCACAGGGCCCGTCCCTGGCCTTCGTAGGGTTTGACATTAACCTGAGCGGTTCCGATCCAGAGGGTTGGGCAGTTTGTGTGGCGGCAGGAGCTGTGGCATTGTTTCTGTCTCGGTCAGTTATCACACTGTGAGTGCGCCAAATTCGATGCACAGACAGTTGATGGGTGGATTTCGGGTGTCAGATGAGTTCCGATGATGTTGAGGATGTGGGTGGACAGTTGGCCTATCACGCTTGCGATGCGCTGGCGCTCGGAGGCCAAGGGCTATTTCGTGATCGTCCGGGGTGGGGATGCGAAGGTCGGCTGAACTTCGCCATGTTTGCTCCTTTGCTCGTCGGCCGGCGGGGCTTGCATCTGGCTACTGCAAGATGACATGTGAGGCTCCGAACCCAGACAATGTGGGCTCGAAAGAGTATGCAGAGCAGATGGCAGACAGCAGCAGAGCGTCAGATCTTCCGCCTGACTGCGTTTAGCTCCCACTATATAAGGCACTTAAAGACTTGGGGCAGCACGAGTTCCTGAACCCAGGAGTCCATCCTCAAACAGCAAGCCTCTAGTACCCTTGTAGTATCCATACCTTATACTACCCTTACAATACCCTTGTGGTACTGTTGATGATATAAATCCTGCACTACCTTAAGGACCCTAAACTATGGGAGTGATGGTATCTTCCTTATTATGGGTCATGCAAAATTTCTATCATCAGCCGTACCACCTAGGGCATCCCTCCTCTTTTTCTGGGCCGCGTGTGGTTCGCCATGGCTGGGCTTGAGGGCGACCTGCAAGCAGCCTTCGAGGTGGGGCTTCGGAGGGTTCAGGCTTGTGAGGGAAGGGCTCGAAAGGAGTTGGGCTGTAGGGTTTAGGGTTTAGGGTGTCAAGTCCGGTTTCAAAAAAGGGTGTAGGGTTTATGGTTGAGGTGCTGAGAGATCGTGAGAGAAAGAGAAGGGCATGATAGCAGAGGAGAAATCTAACAGTTCGATAGGCTCCAAAACGACTGATGGGTCAGTATCTCGGGGTTCGAGAAGGAAGCTACAGTTGCATTCGGATCAAGGGCGGGGTATGGCAGACATGGCACTCTTGCCAGATGTCAGTTGTCAGCCGCAACTGTCGCGCACATCGACACTTCGGCGACTTTAGAGTTCAATTCAGGGCCGTCGCGCAGAAAGAATTTTCAGACGGGATCGCACCAACATCGCCAACCATGAGAGTCATGAGTCATGGCTGCAGTGAGGATGACGATGCACATGATGCACATGATTTTGCAATGAACGGTTTAGTGATAGTGCGGGAGGTTGGAATCAAGTACCAACTGACTGATACGAAGGGTTGGCATGGTCATCGGCTGATAATGTCGGCTACTATTTCGGCTACTGCAGCTGCTACTACTACCACGACGACTTCGACTTCTACTGCCACGACCACGACCGCTCCATTAACAATTGCTATTGTTTCTTTTGCTATTAATATTATTGTTCTGGTTATTGTTATGATTATTGTTACTATCATTAAAGTTGTTATTATCTTTATTGTTGCTATTGCTATTTTGCTGCTGCTAGCACTGCGGCTGCTACGACGAAGACGACTACTACTGCCACAGCTTCCACCACTGGGACTACTGCTGCCACCGCCACACGGACTACGACGACTACTACTTCTATTGCTCCTACTGCCGTCCCTGCCTCCGTTCCTCGTGCTTTGTCTGACACTGCTACTACTGCTTTCCCACGGCCACTACGGCGTATTGCTAGTGGTCCTTGGCGCTTTTTTGTCGAAGTCGTGATGGTGATCTTCGTCATGGCCATCCTGAAATATCCTGAGTGTCGGCATCGTCATAATAACCGTCGCCGGAGTCTTATCTTGATCGCTTGCACATCACGATGGGCAAGCGCCCCACCGCCCTTGCGTCAGCATCCCCAACGAGTGGCAGTGTTTCCAACTTTGCACTGAACAGCGATCCGCCCATGTTTTGGAGCCTCTTGAGAGTCCTTGAACAAGGATCTGGCATTTCTTGGGACTGTCTCTTACAGAAGCACTATGCACGGTCCTGTTCCGGAGAACGAACCGTCAACTCGGCAAGAAGCGACAATAAACTGGGTATTCTTGGCAGAGTGAGAGAACCGCTTTTTGACAGCGATTTCTGGTTAATAGGGGGAGATAAGAGGTTATTATGGTCATTCTTGGGAGACAGTTATTCATGGGAGAGATAAGAGTGCTTTCTTTGGGAAAGGGAACTCTTATTCTTGGGAGGGATAGCAGGTTGTTCTTGGGAAAGATGGCTAGTTGTTCTTGGGGAGATAACTGGTTATTCTGGGAAGGGATAACTGGTTCTTCTTGGGGGAGATAAGTGCTTCTTGTTGGGAGAGCTGCCTGTTCTTGGGGAGGATAATTGGTAATTCTTGGGGTCTAACTGTCGTTCTTGCAAGCTGAGAGGCAGGGGGCGGCTGAGGCTTTTGCCTGGTAAAGTGGCCGAGTCCGCTACTGCTTGAGGCAGTCCTTAAGGTGTTCCCAGAGAACCCAATACCCCTTAATTAAGGAATATACCTTAAGTTATAGGGGCCTTAATATTATGATTTAAGGTATATTCCTCAATTAAGGGGTATTGGGCTCTCTGGGTTGCCGCCCTTCTGCCAGGCGCTTCGACAGGAGATCGAGGTCTTCTTCGAAGGCTTGGTCATTACGAAGGGTTGTGGTGGAGCAGAGTTCACTTCAGAGTACAACCTGCCAGCAGCACATGGTTTTGTCTCGAATGAGCATGCAAGAGGAGACTTGCAGGGGCCCAGAGCGGATTTTTGCATGTGCTTCTTCTATTGGTACTGGCCGCGTGTTTCGTAAAGCAGCAGATGGCACTCCAAAGTCGTTTTGGAACTTTGCTTCTTAAAGCCCTAAGCCCCGTTCCCACTGTAACAGGGAGGCGCCGAACCTTCGACAAAAAAAAATCTAGGCCCTAAACCCAAAGAAGGCATTTCTTTTGGGCTTTGCCTCAGCCCCGAAGAAGTCGGAAGCCTTCAGGGACCCTGAGAGCTATACCTTAAACCGTAGCCATTTTGGCTCAAGCTTTTGAAACAGGCTCAGTGTGTTCCGGTTTGCCTGCCGTTCGCAGCCTATTGCCCCCCCCAACATGAAGTCGTGGCGTGCATTCCTGCTTGCCTTGCTCGCAGCCGTGCTGGCGGGACATCTTCAGGGGTGTGAAGAAGAGACGGACACTGCCACGGGGAATGGTACCGACGATGGTCATTCGCACGACCATGACGATGGCCATTCGCACGACCATGAGGATGGCCATTCGCACGACCATGACCACGACCACGACCACAACGACAGCCATGACCACGACCACAACGACAGCCATGACCATGACCACAACGACAGCCATGACCATGACGACAACGATTCCCACGACAACGACACCCATTCGTGAGTGCACTAAACTTGCTGTCGGGCGAAGTTCCGACCCACAGCAATGAAGCATCGCCGGGGCGGCTCCATCAGCTTCAATGCGTGCAAAGGAGGTTTGAACAGAAATGATCTCGGGTTCCAGGTGGAGTTCCGGATCTTCAAGTGGTAGGGTTCATGATCTGCGAGTCTGCAACAGATGCTGATGGATGCCTCTATGCGAAGACAAAGGGGGAGCCTGGACCTAGTGGTAACTACAGGAAGATCTCATCTAGAAGTGTTTAGGTTGACCTGTTGCATCGGGCCACCCCACCGACGTCGAAATCCATATGCAAGCACCGAACCGTGTCCGGCAACTGGCGCGAGACCAAGAACGGGCGCGAATTTTCGGCGCTGATGACTGCGAGCTTAGATAGCACGCATGTGCCAGCGCTCGCCGGTACAAGAGGGGTGAAGGTTTAGCACCACGATGGAGGGAGTACGTTGACCCGCAGCTAAGCTCTTCACAAAGTCTTCTATTAATGTCAGCCTTCGAGCTTAGTTTCTTCGAAGACTACTGCTGGGTCGGTGCTGCCTTGTGAAGTAGTTGAGATGCTGGACGGCTGGGCGGGTCGTTGTCTTTGGCAGCGTTTGCAAAAATTACAGGGAGAATAGCAGCTGTGCCTGTATGTGGCCTGAATCTCCTGCTCCCGGCATCAGTAGGCCTCTAACTTTTGACATGAGATTTTCGTTCCATTTTCACATGTGGACCGGGCTGCTGCACGGCATGTTGCTCCGCAAACCAGCTACAGGTATTTGGGACCGAACTTGAAGAAGGCCAAAGAACACTGGAAGTCACCTTGTGGAACCTCTGATCGCCGGCTTGGTCACTTACTTTAGTTTGTTCCGCACTGCTAAGTCAACCTTTCGCTCCGGTATAGCCGTGCTCAGAGGTTCATGTGCTTGTATCATGCCGACCCAAACCTGTGGAACCTCGCCTGGCCTGTGAGAGCGTAAGCCGCAAGCCCTAGCCCTGGCCTTGGCCTTCGGCGAAGGCGTCCACGAGAAGCTGAATCGGCTGCAGTCTGCGGTAGTGGTGCAGGCCAGGGACCCGAGCTTCTGGGGCGGAGAAGAGGGCTTAAGGGTTTCGGGTTCCAGGCCTCATGCTTCTGAGACTGTAATACGGGGCTCTCGCTGATAAGTAACAGTGTGCCCTTGTAGTGTTCCGAAACCTATTCTAATCCTTAAGTTCAGGTCCTGATACCACATACACACTTCATGTCATGAGCCGTCGCTGCCAGGAGATCCTGGGCACAAAGCATCGGGATGCCGAAGTGAAGCAGAAGGTTGGGGTGCCAGTGGTAAGAGAACTCGGACCATCGACTCCTTCCTCAATCGCTTAGCCAGGGCTTTTTATGCTTTTATCGCAGTAGCAGCTGGAGCTGTGATGAGCGTGGTAGCTGTTCGAGGAGTAGGGCCATTCTGCTCCGAGGCCGGGGTTTCGACTACGGCCAAAGCACATGATCTTCGAGCTTGTAGGTAGAAGCAACACGAAGTGCTGCGCACTAAGGCCACAACCCTAAACCCCACTAGTCTCAAACCATTCAAAACCATCTATTCCTAGAGCCAAGCCCAAGACACCATGCTTGCAATACTCCTGCCGATGTAAGAGCCTGTGTGACCCGGCACCCCTTGTGCTGCAACTTAACGTAATTTCCGTAGCAAGAGACGAGAATAAATGACTTATACAGCTTGGATCCCCAATGGGAGGACCAAGTGGCGGAGCTTTGCGAAGGGATGGAGGATGCACTTCTCACTGTACCGATCGAAGTGGCAGATTTGCTCAAAATGTCATTGGGTTTTCCTTGAGTTCGGAGGATGTTG